TATATATATATATATCCCTGGTGGGGTGATATGTGGGTCAATCCACCACTACCTACTTATTTTCCGTTAGCAATACAGGAACAAAGTACACACTTGAATCTGTGGTTGAGGTGGGCACTATTGAGTTGAAAGCTAGAGGTAAATATCAAGTTCAAGTAAAGGTAGCATAGAGCTGGTTTGTTTATTAGTACATTGATTTGTTCACTCAATAAATATTTAATGGAGTTGGCTGGGGAGGCAGTCATGGTACAGTGGCAGAATTCTCACCTTCCATGTGGGAGATCCAGGTTTGATGCCTGGCCAATGCACATTTTGTGCAGCCACCACGTATCTGTCAGTGGAGGCTTTATTGGTAGGATTTTGAACAGGCTTCAGCAGAGCTTCCAGATGAAGATGGACTGGGAAGAAAGGCCTGGTGGTCTACCTCCAAAAGTAAGCCAATGAAAACCCTATGGGTCACAATGGTCCAATCTGTAACTGATCATGGGGATGGCACAAGACTGGGCAGCATTTTGTTTCATTGTGCATGGGATCACCATGAGTTTGGGGCCAACTTGATGGTAGCTAACAACCACAACAACAATCGGCCAGCTCCTATTCCAGATACTGAAGGAACAGTAGAGAAGCAAACAAAGTTCCTGTTCCCTTTGCTGTTACACTTTTAGTATTGTTCACGTTTCAGAGAGGTCAGTACTCCCCCTGAATCCCATAGATATTTTGTCATCTGAAAAAGATACCTCCTCTCAAGCCATCCAAAACTTAGGAGAAAAGAGCTATGCAAAGAGAATTTCTACAAGAGAGGAAACAAATGGGTCTCTTACTCTTCTCCTTTGTCCACCTCCCTTTAAGACTTGCTCACATTGATCTCACCATCAGCAACCCCTTATAACCCAGAATGAGCTTTGTTATAATCAGAAACAGTTATTGGAACTATTTGTTAATTTCTAACTCCACAGGGTTGCTGAAAGTATATATAACTCTGTCAAAAACAAGCACACATCAAGCAAGTCTTCATGTTCCTCTCCCCCTTCCCTTCTCCCGTCTGACCCTTTACAGAACCATAGGCTGCTTTGAATTCTGCCACTGTTTCAAATCAAAGCACTCCTTGGTAAACCAAATGTCACATCCAAGGCGGGGGCAGGGGGCACGCAAGCAACTTCCTTCGCAGCTTTGAGCCATGTACACTTGAGCTACAAACACTTGTTCTTACAAGAGGACCTCCTCTGTCCTTTCCACTCAGGTTTGAAGTTCTACATTTTGCCTATTTTGTTTTCAAAAAGTGTATATCGAGACATAGAAAAAAATACTCACCACTGTAAACTTGAGTGGGAACAGCTGAAGATATTATTATGTATAAAAATGAACAATTTGCAACTATCCAGTTGTCTAATTCTATGAAAATACTTAAACAATATCTAACCTATCTCCCAGTCACATTTTCATACAAGCACAAAAAAATATGTTACAAAGACTATTCAATAACATGTAATAGTAATACATCTAAATTGGGATGTACAATATGATTGAAACGATGTTAAAAACTACTGCTTATAGGAAAACATCCCCCACTCACAGCCATTGAGTCGATTCTTTCTTATAGCGACCTCCATAGGCTGTAAATCTTTACGGAAGCAGACTGCCTCATCTTTCTTCCATGGAGTGGCTGGTGGGTTTGAACCACTGATCTTTTTCATTAGCACCCCAATGCTTTAACCACAGTACCACTAGAGCTCCTTAGGGAAACAACTAGGACATGTCAAATTGATGACAGCAGCTGTATCAAAGTGATTGGGTTATGAGAGACTTCCTCTTTTTTCCTATATAATTTTCATTTATATAATTTTGTACATATGTAATACAAATTTGGAAATGTAAAAGGCATTATGACAGGGATAAAAATGGAATTCTGGCCGTCATGGAATTAGTGTTCTCAGCTGCCCTGGTCAATGTACCCGAACAAGAAGCATACCTTCCTGAAATAGGCTTCTGACAAATACATGATCTTCTGTGGGGCTCCCGCACACTTCACAGGAGTATTTGGGAAGGTAAATATGGCATTTCCCTCCTTGAAGTCCTGCAGGGCTTTCCACGTCTTCTCTACTGTCTTAACTGAATAATTGGACCCTATTTTGGGATAAGCAAAACCTTCTGGTAGGCCTTTAATCTGCAACAAAGCACACAAAGAAATTATTTTTCAACAAAGTGCAAATGGTTTTACAGTCCTTGTTCTTTGCCATCTGTACAACCTCTCTAGTATTTCAGCACCTTTATTACCCCCAATACTCACACATAATGGAGCAGGCAGATGGGTGAGGAATCTGCTAAAAGCCAATCTGTGGCACAAGAAATCACAAACCAACCATAGAATAGGCTCAGTTCAGGGGAACTTTTCTACCTCCCAGCCTTGGAGACTATGGCTTCAATACAACTCTTCCTACCATCACAGAGAGGGTAAGAAGCCAGCCATGCTTCCTATTTGTAGAACCAATTGCCTTACTGGGGATGAAGAAGAATGACAGTCGGGATTAAAACCCATTGCTATTGACTCATTTATAGCAAATTTAAATTATCCTTTATCAGGCTGTACTAGATCAAATTCTTGGCAAAGGCAATGAAGTCTGCTCATTAAAAGCATAGACTTTGGAATGCCACAGCCCCAGTTTGAGTCCTAGCTTTTCCACTTACTGGCATTATAACTCTGTGTAAATTACCCATTATCTTTAACAATGGGTCTCAAAGGGTGGTCCTCAGACCAGAAGCATCAATACCACCTGGGAACTTTCTAGAAACGCAAATCAGGCCCATCCTCAGACCTACTGAATCAGAAACTGTGGGAGCATGCCCAGCAATGTGTGTATTAACAAGCCCTCCAGGTGATTCTGATGCACACTGAGATTTGAGAAGCTAATGTTCATGGTCTATAAAATGGGGATAGAAGTATTTGCTTTATAGTGTTGTTGGTAGGAGTAAATGAGATCACACATTTAAAGTGCTTAGAAAAATGACTGATACACACAGTGAATGGTCCATAAATGTTAGTTTATTGCTGTCAATAAGATTAACTGGATACGTGTCTTAATTATTAGAAGGTTCACAGGTACAATTAAAAGCCACAGATGGAGTTGAAAGACTAACACCAGCTCCCAGCAAGAACAGGTTCACCTTCAACCATCAAGACACAGTCATGAAGATGGGCTGGTCCTTCAGAGCCTGTCCAAGCCATTCTCCAGACTGTAAGGTGACCACCTCCAGTCACTCCAGACACAACAGAATTGCCCCTATCCCACAGTCTCAAGGAAACAGCATCCTATGATCTCCTTTAGTGGCCTAGGTTCATTACTCATCCATTCTATGTTAAGAGCAACTATCTTTTTGATTACTGAGCGTACCTCCTGCTACAGTTTGTTGTTGTTGTTGTTATGTGCTGTCGAGTCGGACCCGACTCATAGCGACCCCTCCTTTGGTTTCTGAGGCAGTATCGCTACAGAAGTAGATTGCCCAACCTTCCTTCTGAGGAGCGGCTGATGGATTTGAACCGCCAGCCTTCTGGTTAGCAGTCAAGTGCCTTAAGCACTATGCTACCAGAGCTCCTCCATAATAATAATTACCATTGTTATTACAATATTACCTTGTATTTTAACATTTTTTTAAGTTTCACATCTGTGCTAATACTGGGTTTTCACTGTATTGAGGGTGATAGGAAAATGTTATTAGCTTGTAGAACAAATGAGGTAACAGAAGCAGAGGAAGTTGAGAAACTCTCCCAGAATCTTTCAGAACTAGATAAGAAGTCACCTGACCATCACTTGAAGGCTCTTCCCACAGGACTGCCACAATGTCTGGTTTCCAGAGCAAAACTCACTCTCCAAAAGATAAACAAAGAGTTGATCTCTTATTCCCTGTGCCATTTTTTTTTCCAGTCTAAGGAAGCTGTTGTTTAAGAAAAAGCTGCCACTCAGCGGTAACCAAGTTCCTTTTAGGAAGACTTCTGCCATGAAGGGTGACTTATGATCCCTGATCCAGTCAGAGCTGCTTCCCTGGGAAATCCAAATCAGAGGGAGGCAGGAGGCAGGGAAGCAGGGAGAGAGTGAGAGTCAGGGGAAGAGATTTGATCTGTTCTCACTCTGGCTGCATAGTAACAAGCTGTACACTGAGGAGCTGTGCACTGTCCTATCACACCAACAGACCAGTGAGTAAGAGCATCTGCTTGCACAGACTTCAGGGAACCAGTGTGACATAGACATATAGGCAGAGAGGCTGCCTGGCTTCTGACAGAACCCAGATCTGAGATCCAGTCCTTCCGATGTCCACCTATATTCTTGCCCTGGAGTTCCTGAAACATCTCAATATTCTCATAAATAAATACTCTTTTTGTTTACACTCACCTGAGTAGTTCTCTAGTATCTGTAATCAAAGAGTTCTAAATAATATAGTAACCATTGTTTCCGAGACGGTAAATCTTTATAAAAGTAGATTGCCCAGTCTTCCTTCCATGGATTAGCTAGTGGGTTTGAACTGCCAATCTTCTGCTTAGCAGTCAAATGCCTTAGGCACTATGCCACGAAAAAAACAACCAAACTCACTGCTGTTGAGTCAATTCAACTCATAGCACCCTGCTCCTTGGGTTTCCACGGTGGTATCTCTATGGAAGTAGATTGCCCAGTCTTCCTTCCACAGAATGCCTGGTGGGTTTGAATCGCCAGTCTTCTGGTTGCAGTCAAATGCCTTAGGCACTAGTATCTCTACGGAAGTAGATTGTCCAATCTTCCTTCTGAGGGGTGGCTTGAACCACCAGCCTTATGGGTTAGTAGTCAAATGCCTTAGGTGTTACACAACCAGAGCTCCCACTACTATGCTACCAGAGCTCCTTAAATAATATGGTAACGATCATTACATTACTTACTCTCTCTTAACCTCAGTTTCCTCATCTATTGAGTGGAGATAAAAACATCTGCTTCACAAGTAATTGTGAGGTGTCAATATTAGATTCCTAACATGGTACAAAGTAGAAGACTCCATACCAAGAGCCACTTTTAAACATTACTGTCTGTTTTGCTGCAAGGGATTGCTAAGAATTCCTAACACTGGTCTTTTCAAACAGTCCTCCTCGTATGGCATTGGGGGCTGTTTGGGAGATAGTATTGTGCAGATGGAGTCTCTGGGTAGTGCAAACAGTTATGTGCTTGGAAGCTAATCTACCAAAAGGTAGAAAGTTCAAGTCCACCAAAACACACCTTGGAAGAAAGGCCTGGTAATCTACTTAAAAAAAAAATCAGCCATCAAAAACACTGTGAATCATTGTTCTTCTCTAACACACAGAGGGTTGCACTACTGGACAGCAACTGGTCTGGTACAAGTATTGTGTAGACACACTGTCTTTGCATCACCAGTCAACACTGGTTGAGGCTTTTTTTGAGATGTATAGACCTCCCAGTAATAGTCGTCATTGGCACTTTTCGCCATATATTCTAACCCATATAGTCTGTCCTCTGTTATATGAGACTCATGAATCATGGCACCATGACTCAACTATCTCACAACCTTTACAACAAGCCATGGCTTCTCAGAACCTTCACAGAACACATCCCGAGACATTGTCACTAACCTCACCCTGGACAATCATGACTTAGGTTACCCAGGAACACATTCCTTACTGAGTCAACTTAGATAAGGTCCTTACCTGGATCACATTCCTACAGCTTGTGACCTGGTGGTCACTGTGCTTTGTGTGCTTCAATTATTTATGTGCAATCCCCTATAGACTCTGGAACTTATAATAAATGCTGGAAATTATAATAAATACTCCATTATGTTCTAGAAAAAAACAAACTGGAACCTCACAACTGTCAGATAGCATACAGCTCCCTAGTTTGCTGAAAAGAGATCAAAGGAACTGTGAGGAGTACCTTTCTATTGCACAGTCACTTTCCACATGAAGATCTAGCCTCTACACAACAGAACACAGAAGTCTTCTGAGCATCTGATGAGCTAATTTTGTTATGCCCTAAAAGTCTGTGTTATGGGTTAAATTGAGTTCCAAGAAAATATGTGTTGTAAATCCTTGCCTCTGTGCCTGTGATTATAATTCCATTTGGGATGAGCTCTCTTTGTTATACTAAAGAGGCAGGATTCATATAGGGTACAACTTGAGTCACTCTATTCTGAGATATAAAAGAGATTAAACCATCAAAGAGATGCAGAGAAAAGAAGATGTGGGAAGAGAGACTCCAAGCCACATGAAGATAGCCCAGGAGCAGAAGTTCAAAGAGACAAGGACCTTCCACCAGAGCTAACGGAGAGAACAAGCCTTACTCTAGAACAGGACCCTGAATTTGAACTTCTAGCCTCCTAAACTGTGAGCAGATGAATTTCTGTATGTTAAAGCCACCAACAAATTATCTCTGTTAAAGCAGCACTAGATAATTAAGACAGTCTGCTTAAGAATTCATATTCTAAATTTTACAATGTAAACTTCAACACAGCCAACTGAGTCCTACATAGAAAGGCAGTTTTCTTATAAGTGTAAAAAAGGCTGCTAATTTGCAAAAATTACCATTAGGGCATGAACTCTGATTAAAGCTTAAAGCTAGAATATAACTTGTTATCATTGACAGAATCTTAAAGAAGACTTTTTTTAAACCACAAAAAGACTACTGAGAAGTAAAACTAGAAGAGCATTTCTTAGAACTCTTTCCTGTCAAACTAATAGAAAATAACTAAGTGCAGTGTTTGATCTTGGCATAAACAGGCCAATGGAACACAGAAAAAGTTTCAAACAATACCTTCTCATAGTTCAGTTGGATTCCGAGAGCAATAATAAGATATCTGTAGGAGATCTGCAACAGAAAACAGTGTTATTTTAGGCCAGTACCTAAGAAACAGCAGCCAAAGGGTCAGCTCAAGCCCCAGATGTGTGTGGCCAGCATGTGTTTCACTATTCTAATGTGGATGACTTGGGTCTGAGGATGATGGGTGGACAGGAAGACAGGGATGCATACTGCACCCTGCCATTGTGCCCGCCATGCTCTATTGCCTCACACCTCATTGCTTCACAAATACCAGGTAACCTTCCAGGCCCCTGAAAGCTTGAGACTCTTCTATTTGCAGTGGAGAATAATAGAAAATAAGCTGTATTTATTTGCAAAGTGCTTATATTAACACTTTTTCATATTGAGGGGTAGGGGAATGACTTCTTAATCTTAAAAGATAATCACTTCCTTGCAAATTCATGGTGTAATGTGTGAATCCCGAACAAAACTGACTGGTCATATAGTTGGACTAATACTATAATTGGGAAACTGTTCTTTTGAGAGTCATTGAAAAGAATGTGATGCAGGGTATTTGATCTTTTTGAATGATCAGCATAGGATGGAAAATTCTCCTTTTCCATTCTGTTACCTTCTTGCCATTGTCTGTGTGGATGCAGTTCTTGTCTGGGTTAAGTTCAACCACTCTTGCTTTGATCCATTCTACTCCAGATGGAATCACACTCGCTGTAGGACGACCAGATGAGGACAACTGTTTGGCACCAGCACCCACCAGTGTCCAGATTGGTTGGTAGAAATGTCTCTGAGAAACAAAGTATTTGGGGATTCGTTTCAATTTGAGGCTGATCAAAAGGGTCATAACTAAAGATACATGAGATAGATTCTCTCAATTACTCCCTTCTAGCCCTTGGAACATGGCATAGAAAAGTCTCCTCAAGGTTACATCCCTCTATTGGCATCTCCTATTATCTTAAGCTCAGAAAGGCCTTCACCCAACTGTGAGAACTTCTAACAAAGTTATTTTTAAAAATTTTTTTAAAAAAAGTACAATGAACTATCCTTAATGACCATTGCATTACTTATTGCTGAAGCTAATTTTGTGTTTGATACATACATGCTATACACACACACACACACACACACACATACGTACACAGACATATTATTGGTATATTTGCATGCAAAGGTAGAAAGAAACTTAAGCCCAGTGGCCTAAATACGGCTCCTCAGAAGTATGTAGGGACTACAGTAAGTCTAGAGAATTCTAGTGGAACAGTGGTTAAAGTATTCAGCTGCTAACCAAAATGTCAGTGGTTTGAACCCACCAGCTGTTCCATGGGAGAAAGATGCTTCTACAAAGATTACAGCTTGGAAGCCCTATAGGGCCCACTCTGTCCTATAGGGCAGCTATGAGTCGGAATCAACTCATTGGTAGTAGGTTTGCTTTTGATTATGGTAAGTCTGGAAAGTTTTTAGCCACTTCTGAAGATACTCATAATTCTATTAATATCCAATTGTATTTCTCAAGCCCACAGAGAACTGTAGACACTTCCTATTAGCCCGCTTCTTCTTTCTCAGAGGTCTTACACCCAAAGTCTGTAGGGGCCAGATCTTACCTCACAAAGCAACATATACCCCAAACTTTCACTATTTTCTAGAGTTTTCTTTCTTCAGATGGTCTACTCTTGTTATAAGTTAGTTGGGAAAGTTTTAGACCCAGTGACAAAGGGCAGATTGGTTAAATGGCCTCTGAGAATTCCAGCTCACTCATGAAGTAGCCTGGGGGACCCAAGAACTTTCAATATTGCCAAAGTACTTAAAAGTGACTGGACAGAACTGCTCAGAACCCACAAAGAATTGAGGGAACATGAGGCATGACTTTGCAAGCTCCCTATAGCCAATAATGGATATTATTAAATGGAGAAGCGAAGGGAATCACAAGTTGATTAGCTCATCAATTTCAGGTCCCTCTTGAACAGGAAGCAGAATGGAAATACAAACTCAGGGGTTTTTTACACGAGGAAAAGGCAGCAGTTCCAGGCATTATTAAACCAGGCACTGAAGGGAAAGTGCCAAAGTCTGAGCCACTCCTTCTCCACCCTCCCTAGAGACTCCTGTCAGGTGTTTCCTCACAAGGCAGGGCAAACGTTATTCTGACCTCCGGAGTTGTGTCCAGCCCCTCAGAAAAACTAGTCTCATTACAAAGAGAAGTCAGGAAAACAGAAGTAGTCGCTCCTCCTGAACAAGGTGGCCCTGGGGAGAGGAGATACCAGAACCTGCCTGTGCTGCCAGGACCTCTGCTTGTGATCCACCCTGTGACCTGGAGCTGCTACAGCAGCCCCTCATGGTTAGGAGACCCCCTCTGGCCTGGGGCCTGCTCTTCCTCTGGGCACAAGTCCTTTGGGATGAGGTGTCGGGGAGCTTGCAGGGAGGGAGCAGATGCTATCTTTCAAACAGAAAGATTCAGGAAAGTGTTGCATGTGTACCATTTGAACGCTTCTTGCTGTTTTTAGGATTCTGAGCCCTTGGGGAGGGTACCTGGGAGATGGGGTAAGAAGAGCTTTCATTCATCTGTACAGTAGATTGCATGACAGTGAGCAGTTGTGTCCAGGGTGGCTACTGACCAGTTTATGACAAATACCCCCACTCTGTGTAGCCTGAGTGCTTGCTCAAAGAGGGGCTGTCCTCTAGGAACCCATGCTCCCCAAGGGTCCTATCTCATTCCTGGCCAGTTCTCTCCTTGCTTCCCACCCACCTGGCCAGGGCCCATTTTTAACCCTACCCATCAATCATTTCAAGAAACCTCTGTTTACTGTGCAGCACCCAGGCTAAACATGTTCCACAAATTCAACTTGTATATTTGACAGATTAAACTTGATGTCTACCTGACACAACTCACAAACCATTCTCATTGAAAATACCACTGCTTTGAAGATACCACTTAAAAAGGAAAGTGATATAGAATGCCCTGTAGTCTCCTCTCAGAACAGAGAGAATGAATCAGTGACTAAACAAAGCCCAGAGTAGTCTCATTCAATACTGGGGAGACATCTGAAAAGGATGTGCCATTCTCGCCCCACCCCCACCTCTACTTAAACAGGCACTGAATCCATTTTGATTTTCCCTCCTAAAGACACACTTTCCAGCTAGTGCATCTCTAGTTCCTGGAGAAACAGGCAAATCGCCAAAAGCATGAGTATTTTTCTGAAGCTTTTGGACAATCTTAAAATGTTTGTCATGAAATGTTGTTGTTGTTGTTATGTGCCATCGAGTCAGATCCAACTCATAGTGACCCCTCCTTGGGTTTCCGAGGCAGTATCACTACGAAAGTAGATTGCCTGGAAGTAGGTTGCCCAACCTTCCTTCTGAGGAGTGGCTGGTGGGTTTGAACCACCAGCCTTCTGTTTAGCAGTCAAGTGCCTTAGGCACTATGCTACCAGAGCTTCTTTGTCATGAAATAGTACCTTATAAACACTTCCCAATTTAGTCTTCTCTTCTAGTGTCTGCTACCTTTTTCTGCCTTATAATTTGTTCTCTTCCATGCTCCATCTTCCCTGACTCCTGTCACTTGCACTTAAATTTCTCAAACCCACTGACACCTTCCCAGAGGGTTCCTTACCCCATCTTATCACCCCTTCTCCAGCCAGGAACAGAAATGAGAAAGTACAATGACTATTGATTTTCTTCTGGACATGACAAAAGGGGTGGGAAGGAATCACAGAAAGCCAAAAAAAAATCTGCTCCCTCCCTCCACATTCTCCCAATCCTTTTGGACTGCTACTTGCTTTTCCCAGAAGGAGAAGCGCTAACATGAAGTCCCAGTGCCTGATAGTTAACCCCACTTCCCTCCCTAACACACAAACACTCATGAGGGGAGACTTACCTCACTGGGCTCAACAATACCCACATTCTCTGCCCCTACTTTCCTCTTCATGCGAGCAGCCATGGTGATGCCACCACTGCCCCCACCCAGCACCAGCACTTCATAGTGGTTCTTGGCTGCACAGCTGGCTCCTGTGTGCAGCTGAAGTGGGCCAGCATGTGTGGTGCCCAGCCTGAGGAAGTAAGCAAAGAGCCGGGTGCGGGGGCCAGACACCATGGGGATCGGCAGGGTCATCTTTAAGGTGGGTCAGGCTAGAAAGGAACAGACAAGGCTATGAGTACTGAGGAAGTGACTGCTATGGCACCAGACTATTTTCTTTCAGGGAGAAAAGAGAGGTCAATGTCTGGCCAGCTTCAGCTATTGTCCCCAATCTTCTCTTGAGACCATTTCCCCCTTTGGTCACGTGCCCAAGATATCCTAAGAAAACTTGATTAATAGCTAACAATTGGCTAAATTTTCCACTTCCCCTCTTCCTCCTTCTTTCAAAAGAGCCTTTGTGGCACAATGGTTAAGGCATTTGGCTGCTAACCAAAAGGTTGGTGCTTTGAACCCACCAGCCACTCCACAGGAGAAAGATGAGGCAATCTGCTTCCATAAAGATTTACAGCCTTGGAAACCCTATGGGGCAGTTCTACCCTGTCATAACTTCTTTCAAGTTATCTAGCATGCTGTTATGAAGGACCCCTGGTGGCACAGTGATTAAAGTGCTCAACTGCCAACCAAAAGGTCAGCTATTCATACCTACCAGCTGCTGCATAGGAGAAAGATGTGCAGTCTGCTTCTGTAAAGATTATAGCTTTGGAAACACTATGGAACAGTTATACTTTGGTATAACTTTTATACATAAGGTCACAATGATTCAAACTCAACTCAATGGTAACGGGTTTGGGGTATGTGTGTGTGTGGGGGTAGGTTAGGATGCTGTTATAGGTCCCTGGATGACACAAATAGTTTGCACTCAGCTACTAACCTAAAGGTTGGCAGTTCAAACCCACCCAGCAGCACCATGGAAGAAGAGCCTAGTGATCTGTTTCCGTAGATTACAGCCGAGAAAACCCCACGGAGCAGTTCTAGTCTGTAATGCATGAGAATTAACTCAATGGCAATAGGCTTGTTTTTTGTTTCATGGGGTTTGTTGTTGTTGTTGTTGTTGTTGTTGTTTTTCCTTAGGATGTTCCTTGAGCTAGGCATCCTCTACTCTTAGGTTCTTCCTAACAACTTTTCTGTACCCATCCCCGTCCACCTATAAAATCTAGGGCATCATCTGGTGTATCCAGCAGCCACCCAGTCTCCTCTCATGTTCCTCAACTCCTTCTTTGGCTTTTCAGTCCATCAACACTAATTTATGAGTCCACAGATAGAGACCTGTATAATACCTCATCACAAAGGGCACCTAAGACCTTTTTGAGAAAGGAATAATCCGCAAGAACCCACTGCTCAGGACCCACCTTCTGAACTCAGAGTTGCCTTAGTCTCACTTAGAGGCCTCCTGGTTCTGTGCCAGAGGCATGCAATGAATCAAATCACTGGAGGAGGAAGCATAAGCAAGGGCCCTCCCTCCACATCCTTAGCAATTTTAACTAGATGATTAAAAAAAAAAAAAAAATGGCCATAAAAGGAGCCCTTCCTGGTGTTATAAAGTTATATTCTGTGTACAAAATCTGCACATGCTGCTGACCTGTCTTTTATTATATCCAATTCAGTGTCAGATTACCCAATAAGCAAGGTAAGCACAGGCTTACTTGTGCATCCTTATTAATCTGTAGTGAACACTCTCACATTTTTTCACCACATCAAAGATTCTGCTTCTACGTATGACTGGCATCTGTCTCTCTCCCAATCCCACAGCAACTCCTACAGAATCAAAGCCTCTTTTCAAATTCACAGTCCCTGACAGAGATGGAGTATCACTAAACAAGTAAGCACGGGCTTAGTTGTGCTTACTTACTAATCTATAGTGATCAGTTTCACATGTTTTTCACCACCTCAGAGATGTGTAGAAACCCTTAGTAAATTTGCACAAGTAAGCAAGAGTTTATCTTGCTTATTGAGTAATCTGCCCCTGATCCAAATCAATAAACAATCTCTCCTTAATAGCTCCTCCAAGAGATCCTCTTTACCTTTAGGAAATACATGTTTCTACTCTAAGCAGCTAGTGCTTTGGCAGGAAGGAAATTAAAGCTCACAAAGACTGGTTTTTGCTTCATCCTATCCATAGAACTGGCCTTACATCAAGAACATCATCTTCTTGGTATAATTATCTCCCTTTATCTTGGTATAAACATCTCCCTCTCTGAGTGTTAGTGCCCCAAATTCCACCATTACGTTCAGTCCTTTGGGTTAAATGTTGCTCCAGGAGCTCTTTATTAAAATGCAAATATCCAGCTGGGGAATAATGCTTATATAATGCTTATAGCTGCATATCTGCTAAGGTCACTAACTTCTTCTTCTTTTTTTTTTTTTTTTTTTTTAATTAACTTTTTATTGTGATCTGGGTGAAAGTTTACAGAGTAAATTGGTTTTCCACTCCACAGTTCATACACATTTTGTTTCATGACATTGATTACAATCCCCATAATGCAACAGTCCTCTTCCCACTTCCTCCCTGTTGTTACCATTACCCTTGGTCTTTCTTTCCTATCCATTCCTGCCTTTTGAATTTTATCCCTAGGCAAATGCTGCCCTTCTGATCTTTGGAAATTATCTAGTTATAGCATTTTTCCCACTTGCTAGAGAAGAGGATGGTTCCCTGAGGGAATTACAGAAAGGTGAAGGGAGGAAGGGCCATGAAACAAAGAAAGAAGGGCCCTGGAAGAAGGGGAAATGGGGTGGGGAGAGTGTGAAGAAGGAGCCAGGGATGCTAATTTTAATTGAGATGAACTCTATTACAGAGTTTTGGCACCCCTGACAATGTCCCCAATATTTCAGATCTGAGAAGCAACTAGAGCTGGCATAGGGGCCTTGGAAGACACACAGTAAGGAGGGTAGGCTTACACATTATTGCTGCCAATTTAAAATTACTATGACCTTTAGAAAATAGTATTTATCATTCTTTGACTCTGCATTTCCATCTCTGGGAATCTAGTCTAAGGAAATAACCTGTAATATTGAAGAAGTAAGGAAAAAAAGAAAAAAAAAACTGTTATGAAGATGTTTCTCAGATTCATTCATAATACGGTCAATCTTCAGTTCTGAAGACAGGAAAAAACAACTCCAGGCTCTACACAGGTCAGGGAAGGCAGTGGTCCTTGATTGATTTGGCCAGGAATAATCTATGATCATTTCAATTAAACATGATTGAGGGAGGGGTAGGCAGAGCAGCCTGGATGGCGAAATATTGGGGTAAGATTAAGTGAAATAGAGTTACATACAATGACTTATACTGCCTTTTAAAATTATATTTCCAAAGAGAATATAAAATGCTTATGTTACAATCAGAATACAATTGAAAAATACATTATTATTTCAACTACATAAAAGAAATGCATAGAAAAAGTAGATGGCCAAAAATGTTAACACTGGGTGAGTGGTTTTCCTCTGGATTGTAGAATAATGGGTGGTTTTGATTTTTTCTGCTTTTCTGTATTTTATAAAAGTTTCTACATATGCATGTACTAATCTTATAAAATATTTATTTTGATTATAATAACTAAAATATTTTAAGCTTTAGCTTGTGAGTTGGCTACCATTTTACATAACCATTTTACAAATGCTCCAATTGAGGCAAGGAGCAGTGCCTCCCTCTAGTCATACATCCCTGTACACGGTGGACTGTGGTTTCCATCCAGGCACTATGGTCACAGCCTGGACTTTAAGCCACTATACCCTACTATCGATAATCTTTAAATAGCTGTGTATCAACAACAACAACAAAAAAAAAAGTGCTTAGAAGATAATGTTAAATGCAAAAAAATCCACACTTCCCAGAAAACAAAAACATATTTTCATGGTACTGACATCTAAATCTTAGCCCCACAGAGAGTGTCTACAATATACATTGTAGTATATGAAAGGAAATTTACCAAATGTTAACAATGGCTTTAGTAGGAGTATAATTGATTCTTTTCTTCTTCTTCTTCTTCTTTGTGTTTCTCAGCTTTTTCCAAATTTTCTTTATTGGATCCTACATTTTAATGTTTTTTTTTTAATTATGCACTTTGATTTTTTTTTTTTTTTT